ACTTTTGTAAACATCTTACTTATGTCTATGGCCAGTTAAGAAAACCTTTACTATGAGGTGAGGTGAAATTGGGTTTATCATTGTGCTTGAGAATATTTCGCTCATATGACGATCCTTTACTATGACCTTGACCTTCAAACATTATGGGGGCGGTGGGGTAGCCTAGTGGTTAAGGCATTTGCTTGTCATGCCAAAGACCCGGGTTTGATTCCCCACATGGTACAATGTGTGAAGCCCATTTCTGGTGTCCCCTGCTGTCATGTTGCTGGAATATTGCTAAAAGAGGCGTAAAACCAATCTCACTCACCTCTCAAACATTATGGGTGAAACAAGTTGTGCAAACAACAGTCCCTTATGATTTCAAAGAAACTGAATTTCTTATTGTCTCAAAGTAAATACATTTCCAAAGTATTTCCATTAATAAGCTTGAGAAAAGGGAACTTTACGAAACATGGTCTTAGATTAATGGCAAAAGTTGATGACTACACTTGTCTGATATACAACAGTATTTTTATTGAACAGACAGCAATATAATTTGAAGAAGTTTCCTTTTGAGAAAAACACTTCAACACATTCCACTCACTAAGAATATCACAAATACTCTCATTAACTGAAATACTACCAAAACAACAACACAAACTCAAACAATGCAACCTGAAACACGGTAAGGTTTCAAAGTATCACAACAGCCCAAATTAGAAGCCGTGTGTCATTAAATCTAAGTCTACGATCGATAACAGAAGCGCTCGCTCAATACATATGCAGATCCCTGGTGCACCCGTAAATGACTCTGTTGTATGTTGTTACCTGTCTCAGCTGAGTGACTCTACCTGACAGGTAACCCTACCGACTGGTCTACCCTCACTTTCTACCCCCCATGTCGTTACAGGTAACTCAATCTAGTTAATCCTCCACTGATACCTGTGGTAAGACAATCTCGGATTGTTTGGAAGGTTCCATACACCTGGTCTGTTTGCGGAGAATAATTCGCTGTCTAATTTCACAGACAGATTAACATCAACACTATTCTTTGTGTGTATGTTTCAGACAGTTAGACTCTAGAGTTCTGATTATTGATACCACGAGCTGAGATTTGCTAAAGGTCATCTGTGAGTTTATGCATGTCAAACTGTCAAACTGCAAAATCAGGATCACATACATTTTCTTGTACATATACTTTTATAATGAATAGATAATATGTTTGTCGAACATACCTCATATTTACATGATCATGTTCATAAAAAGAGTTCTTTCCATTCCATGACAGTAGACTGACTGACTGAGTTTGGATTTACGCCGCTTTTAGCAATATTCCAGCAAAATCACGGCAGGGGACACCAGAAATGGGCTTAACACATTGTACCCATGTGGGGATTCGAACCCGGGTCTTCGGCGTGACGAGCCAACGCTTTGACCAATAGACTACCCCACCGCCCCTCCATGACAGTAGAAAAGTTTATAACTACAACGCAGACTAATTGTCCCTTTTGACTATTTAAAAAGTGACAAAACCTTTTCAATATCCATAAGAAATCTCGATTGTACAATTGTGACTATATCATTAGTAGATATTTGTTCCAGCAGTACCACAGCTGTACGATGTTGTTTGTAAACAAATGGAATCTGGACCAAGTTAAAAATTATGAGACGTATAATTCCGGGGAGTTATAGCCATGTTCAAATTTATGAGACCAATAGTTCTGTAGAATTCATAATGTAGCCATGTTAACAATTACAAAACAACTAGTCCCTAGGATATTGTTAGTAGGCCAGACCAATTTCATGTCTTGTTTTATGGATCCGCCGGTCATATTTTTTCAAGAATCAGACAAAAATTAAATTAATTTTCCCCACACAAAAAATGAAATCCTAATGTAATTTATTGGCCAAAAATGTAAACTTACACGCAAAAGTTTTAAGATTGTTTTTTGCCTCATACACTCTTCATAAATTGCCAAAAGTAAAATACTTTTAGCATTAAAAAGGAATATTACTTTGACTGGTGATTATTTAAATGATTTTTTTCCCTCCTGCCTATAGGTTTTCTGAGGACAAAATCCGTAAAACATGAAATAAAACTGGTTTGGATGAAAATTCCTTGATAAACACTCAGCTGTAATAACTACACATTATTCATCATGATGCTCTCTCAACCCCTTCATAACACATTTTTCTTTGATGTACTTTTTCCTGATCCTCATAATTCTACAACACTCCTCCCCTAAGTGATATTCTCCTAAACGATACTACACTCCTAACAAATACCTACATACAGATATCAATGGTCACCTTGTCCCACAATACATTAGCACTATCTCTACCATCAGCAGACATCTGATACGGCCATTAGCATGACCTGCTACTTAAAGGGACATTGTGGGAAGGAAAGTGACCTCAACAGCCCTGTGTACTGGTTACCTGGGCTATCTCTCACTGTCATCTGGCTGAAGGGGCTACAGAGTGATGTGGAGAGGTACAGTTCTCACATACACAGTTATTGGGTATTTCAACATGTTTTGTGTTTTGTAACTGGTTACCTGGGCTATCTCTCTCACCATCATCTGGCTGAAGGGGCTAACAGAGTGATGTGGAGAGGTACAGTTCTCACATACACAGTTATTGGGCATTTCAATGTTTTGTGCCTGGGCTAACATTTTTGTACCTGGGCTATCTCTCACTGTCATCTGGCTGAAGGGGCTACGGAGTGATGTGGAGAGGTACAGTTCTCACATACACAGTTATTGGGTATTTCAACATGTTTTTGTACCTGGGTACCTGGGCTATCTCTCACTGTCATCTGAGTGAAGGGGCTACGGAGTGATGTGGAGAGGTACAGTTCTCACATACACAGTTATTGGGTATTTCAACATGTTTTTGTACCTGGGCTATCTCTCACTGTCATCTGGGTGAAGGGGCTACGGAGTGATGTGGAGAGGTACAGTTCTCACATACACAGTTATTGGGTATTTCAACATGTTTTTGTACCTGGGCTATCTCTCACTGTCATCTGGGTGAAGGGGCTACGGAGTGATGTGGAGAGGTACAGTTCTCACATACACAGTTATTGGGTATTTCAACATGTTTTTGTACCTGGGCTATCTCTCACCATCATCTGGGTGAAGGGGCTACAGAGTGATGTGGAGAGGTACAGTTCTCACATACACAGTTATTGGGTATTTCAACATGTTTTTGTACCTGGGCTATCTCTCACTGTCATCTGGCTGAAGGGGCTACGGAGTGATGTGGAGAGGTACAGTTCTCACATACACAGTTATTGGGTATTTCAACATGTTTTTGTACCTGGGTACCTGGGCTATCTCTCACTGTCATCTGAGTGAAGGGGCTACGGAGTGATGTGGAGAGGTACAGTTCTCACATACACAGTTATTGGGTATTTCAACATGTTTTTGTACCTGGGCTATCTCTCACTGTCATCTGGGTGAAGGGGCTACGGAGTGATGTGGAGAGGTACAGTTTCACATACTGGTTACCCCCAATGTCAATGAGAGGTTGGCGCTTACCAACGTCTTAGTTAGCATCATTAGCCATGAACAAGAGCATGTACATTATTACATGTAGATAGACTATGTGTAGACTATGTGTAGACTATGAGCAGATGGCTCTTCGGGGGCTAAATTGGTCAGTTATAACCACCTCAACCTTGCTGCATCCCCCAATAATGAATGTCAGTATAGGACTGACTGACTGACTGAGATTGGTTTTATGCCGCTTTTAGCAATATTCCAGCAACATCACGGCGTGGGACACCAGAAATGGGCTTCACACATTGTACCCATGTGTGGATTCGAACCCGGGTCTTTGGCGTGACGAGCCAGCGCTTTAACCATTAGGCTACCCCACCGCCCTGTCAGTATAGGACATCAATGTTGCATTCATTAAAATTTCAGTCCCATGATGGGATTCAAACACGTACCTTCTGATCCAAGGTCAGATACCTTTCCACATGACCAAAGAGTTTAACCCTATCGACAAGCTGACAAGGTAAGGATGTCATCTAGGACTCCACATCATGCTCCACCATCATGAACCCTGTTGACCTTAGACAGAACAGCAGGGGAGGGATTAAAGGGGATATCATTAGAGATAAATACACTTCCATTATATCAGCTAAACGATTAACAAGGTCAAGGACAACTTCTTTTAGTGTCATTTCAGAAGCTGGGAAGTACAAGATAGACAAATTTCTTTATTTCATGAGTGCAATGTTTTGATACAGACCGTTGACACCGGTACAAGAATCTGTATCGAAACGTCACACTCACGAAATAAAGAAGTTCTCCATAAAGTTTGTCTTCCAAGGTCAAGGATGATTGGCATTACTAGCAAGGTAGTTTAGGGAGCCTCACAATTTGCCCAAATTGAACAAAATGTCTGTTTCATAGGAGGCACTCATGTGCCGGTGTGAGGCTGACTGTAGAACATAGAAGCCATTGGTGGTTATTTGTTCTATGTAAATTACAGTACACTAAGATGATCATAATAAACACAAGCCCTTTACTAGAGGTTGCGAAAGTTAAAGATATCAATGATGCCTCTGTACAAATGTTCCATATACATATATGGTAAAACATTAAATGGACGTATTACACGGATCCACCAGCTTCCAGATCTGTTCATTCACTTGCATGTTCTCTGGCACATTTCGGCTATCATTCATATTACACATTTAAAAAAAAAACAGTAGAAAAGTTGTCTTCATTCATTCAGTTCTGTTTGTCTATAAGTTAGTTCACTACTTGAATTCTATAAAAGTTAGAAAGTCTTTTTCATTCATTCATTCATTTATTCATTAGTTTATATTTATCATTTTTGTTTAATTTAATACAAGAGAAGGTTAGTGTGTTTGTTCATTCTTTTCAGTTATTAGCTATATAAGAAAAATTAATTTCACAAATGTAATAAAGGGTCATTTATTCGTTTATACACTGATTTCTCCTACAATTTCTATAGATTATTATTAAGCAGAAGCATCGACACAGAGGCAAAGGCAGCCGGAACGACGTGGGCCGAGCTGAAGAGGATCTCCCAGAACCGTCCGTTGGAGGGGTGTTGTTGTGGCCCTTTGTTCCCCGAGGAATCAAGAGGCATAAGTCAAGTAAGTCAATTTATTAAGTAACAAAAGTATAAAAGACTGTTCGCTTTACCTCAATTTGCTCCTTCATTTCTTTTACCATTTATGCCATTTCTTTTATTCCATGATGCAATGCTGACTTTATAACAAAGTCACATACTGTTTTATGTGACATTCGACATTTGATCTTAATGTGTAGATAGTTGTGTATGCTAAAGATATCAACATTCTAACAGCGGCGTCTCGAGGTCCAAGAGTTTTAAACACCGAGCCACTGAGACAACACATGAGTGATATAGCTCATAACTCCCCAGTAAAACACAAAGCTCTTTGTGTTAGGAGATAGCCTATTGAAAGATTTGTCAAACAGAGCCAATGTTAAGAGTGTGCTGTCAAAAGACACGTGTTTAAGAGATAAAAGATGTTTGTTTGAATAGTAAAGATGTCACACGCAAATCTGTGGGATTCTGAAATAGCTGACACACCACTAATACACAGCTTCATATCTGGGTTTTCTGATAAAACACTTCACTTATAGCATAGCAAAGGCCTTAAACCAGCACACTGCTTAAGAGTGAATGAGTATAGTTTTACGCCACTTTCAGCAATATTCCAGCAATATCACGGTGGGGGACACCAGAAATGGGCTTCACACATTGTACCTATGTGGGGAATCAAACCCGGGTCTTCAGCATGACAAGTGAACGCTTTAACCACTAGGCTACCCCGCTGCCCACACTGCTTAAGAGAACTTGCTGTGCAGATTTGTGTCCCCCTATTGGTCCAGGAAGCTGTGATCATTGGTTCTAATCTCAGTTTGCCCTGATTATGTTAATGTTAGTCAAAAAGATACACATGACTGTGGGAATCACTAAAATTGGTAATTGTCTGACTACATCCTCCCAAAGCAAGCTGCTATGCTGTGATATACATGTTACTGAAACTCTGTTCAAAGCACTGAGGGCCTGTGAAGATCCGGGTTAGAATAAATTGGCCTTCAGTAACCCATGCTTATCGTAAGAGGCAACTAACAGGATCGGGTGGTCAGGCTTGCTGGCTTTGTTGACACATCTCATCGAATTCAATATGCGTAGATGGAAGCTCATTATGTTGATCACTGGATTCTCTGGTCCAGACTTGACCAACTCTGTGGTGTAGTGGTTAGAGCGGAAGGTCGCGGGTTCGATCCCCAGCTGCATCATACCAAAAGACGTTAAAATATGGTACTTGTTGCTCCCTGCCTGGCGATCGGCATTAATGGGTATGTTACAAGGACTGGTCGGCTCGGAGTCAGTATAATGTGTCTGAGTGGGGTATTCATGCTTCACTGTGGCATGGTATCTCAGTAGGCTAGCACTATAAAAACAGCTTAAGTCCAGGCTAGTATAAGCAGCCGCACATACACATACACACGCATGCAGTCGTCATATGAGCGAAATATCCTCAGGCACGAAGTTAAACCCAATTTCACCTCACCTCACCTCTGGTCCAGACTCAATTCCTTACAGACTGCCACCATATAGCTGGAATATTGCTGACTGTGGCGTAAAACAACAAACCAAATCAAAACATTGAGCTTATCTCCAATTACAACCCGAATTCTGAAAACAAGAATATCTTAAATAACGGAGATACCACCCACAAAACAAAAATTGTCACAGATCATTTGCCAAAGCCAGACCCGTGTTGTTGAACAATCTTCCAAACAACAGCTCAGACTTCTTTGAGTGGCATTTTAGAATTTCTGAAGTACAATATTGACAAATTTTATGGAAAACTTCTTTTATTTCGAAAGTTCAATGTTTAGAACAGATTCTTGTACCATTGCCTAAGACATCTGTGAGCTCAACTAGTTCAAGCTAAAGCTAAAAACGCACCTTTCATACAGTGCCTTTGCCTGAGTGACTCTCAGCAATTGCTTGGAACAGGCTCTATATAAATATTACTTTATTTACTAAATTATTAAACCCAACATACTCATTTCCTCATGAAAACAAATTTACAATATGTTGTCAAAAGAGGTTCTTATGTTAATTCATCCGTACAAGATCACTTAAGGCCATATAAAGTGATGTATCTCAAATATATAAATCATAGCATTTTATACACCGAGAAAAAAAATCTGCATAATTATCATTTCATGGCATATGCTAATATTCCTGTTGAATTTATGATGAGGCTGTTACCATGACAACTAAATGAGTTATGACTCTGTACACAGTGTGAGGCTGTTGTTGGTACAATCGCACCAAATAAGACTCAGAGTTTGAAACAAGTCTCGACCTGTCTTGATTTTCTTGACTTTAAAAAGACAATGATGTAAGGTTCTCTATTCTCAAATTGTTTCTTCTAACCTTTTAGTCTTTGGTGAGTGAGTGAGTGAGTGAGTGAGGTTTTACACTGTTAGCAATATTCCACCGATATCCCAGTGTGACACCAGAAATGGGGTTCACACATTTTACCCATGTCGGGAATCAAACCCGGGTCTTCAGGCATTCTGAGTGTACTGCTTTAACCATTAGGCTACTCCACCACTGCCTTCTTCAAATAAACAATGCAGGTTCAGTTACCAAAATGCCTCTTCAAGCCTGTGCCATATTTCAGTAGGTTAGTACTCTTGTGTTTTTCTATATAAAACAAGTCACTTCAACATCAACAGACTTCATAAAACAGAACTTGCAAATAACCGGTTATGTCAATATCACTTTATGAAACCCTTCAAGCCAAGGGCAAGGAAGCTATGAGCTTGCAACTGTTTTTACAAGTGTAAACATGCTATCATGACAAGGATTCAGTTCAGCAGATCAACTGGCAAAGGTTATCAGAAATATGATTTAAACACATGCATTACTCAAGGGCATTAGGCTGAGGACAACTCTGGCTCACTCCCAACTCTCCACATGTTCCTTGAAGCATGTCAGCCAGACCTGTAGCAACCCGGGACCCCAGATATCCTGACATGATATATCTGTCATGGGTATATTGGGTATATATCGCAGGTGCCATCTTTTTGATGTTTATGAACAAAATATTCATATTGGGATAATACAGTCAGGACGACCTTTGGCGGCTTTAGAAAAGCCATTATCACAGCTCCAATGGTTTTCAATAATCACGGTATCTTTGTATCTGTTCATGATTTCTCCACTATCTGCTGTGACAAAAGACTCAAACAAGAAAGGAGCCTGTCAGTTCAGTTATTGTTGATGGAAGGGTGGAAAAGTTAAGAGCTGCCACAAAATTTAATGTTTCCTGAACACTTTGTGTTGTAAGATCTTCATGTATATTATTGAGACATGTTTAATGATATAGAGCTCAGAATGTAAAGAAGAACGAGTTGGTTTTAGGGAGAGAAGGTAGAGTACACCTTTGTTGAAGTCTCATGAAACTTACAAACGAAGGTCTCATTCAACAAAGCAATTGTAGCACTAAAGTACTGTCGGAAATAGAAAAAAACTGTATTTTCTCATTTATCTCTACAATTTATGTAGTTGATATGTGCAAGTGTGAAATATATGTTAAACTAAGTTCGGCCTAACTACAGTCCCAGTGGTAGGGACATAGGAAACGTACAAAAAGGGCTTTACTAAGGAGAGATTAGTGCAGAAATGAGCAATGCGTTTTATTTGGAACAGACCATGGCTTTATGCAAATTAGTGTGCGACGATATTGTATTACAAAGGACACTTTTTAAATGCATATTTTGAAATTAGATGTAGCTTCATTATAAACGATAGCTGGCATAAAAAATAATAACATTCATGCTGAAACTATTAAGGATGTAGCTATCATGGAGTCTCATTGTCACTATGAAAAGAAACAGATAGGAGGGTTCGTCTCAAAAGCAAAACCTGGAGGGGTGTCGCAGACGATCGTTGGGGTCGGGCTGGGGGATAGAGATATCAGCTAAGATAAGATAATCCTTTAGGGCAATTATACTGGGGAAGTACACGGCATGTCATAACAATTTACAAATAATATCCAGTCCTGTCGATCATGCCACCTATATATTTTGAGACATGTAATACGATGCGTTTCTATGGTTATTAGGTATCTACTCTTTTACATATCTCAACATAAACTTTATGAAAGAAAGACACGTAAGATGTTAATCAATAGATGAGACATAGTCAGCACACATGAAAAAGCACAAAATATCTTTGATATGACCCCTTGTGCCTGTAAGGCAGCACATGCATTTCATGCTAGGTGTGTCGACGGTCCGTCATCATACCTGGCTGAGCGACCTAATTGCCATCTATAGTCTGATCTAATGTTTTCAGCAACTATTCATATTTTTTCTAAGTTTTGCCCGATTTTACGAGTAAACATGCTTTTCCGGATATCCTATTACGCATCCCACTGAATGCCAAGTTAGGCCGAAGTGGGTTATTTCGACATATGCTATTTGCAGTTGTGTAAATTTTAGGGATACAGAGTAACAGCCTAAAAACAGTTTTTTTCTATTTCCGACAGTACTTTAAGACAGTTGTATGTCTTTGTTAAAATATGGGAGTTTAAATCACCTTTGTGCTTTGCAGAACATGGGCCCAGCTCGGTTTAACTTTCAACAAATGAGTAATTGAGTTCGGGTGAGTGAGTATTCCAGCTTCCCATTATATCAAGGCATGAAGGCTTAATGTCGGCGGAAAACCCAAATCATCCACAGTGGGTGAGTGAGGGAGTTGGGTTTAATGCCACTTTAATCAATATTTCAGTTCTATCACAGCATGATGGGTAAGAATAGCCCAAAGTGAAATGAGTTTCAGACAAACTTAGGAACATATTCTGGGCAAACATGGATTCGAACCCACAATCAGAGGCTTCTGACATACCCAAGGGACACAACTCTACACAGTGAAATGCAACAGCAGTAATTTCTTAACAGTAGGGTTGATTTGGCATTGAAATGAACTGAAAAAACCTGAGAAGATAAAGGAAAATGGTTTTGTCAAGCCAAGGAATATAATTTAACCTGATTTGGCATCCAAACTGA